ATTCCATCCCCCCTCCTCCTGCTTCTATGAGGATGTGCCCCCACCTATCTTACCACTCCCATCTCCCCACACTCGAGCTCCCCCACATTTGGCATCCAGCCTTCATGGGACCAAGGATCTCCTCTCCCACCTAGTTATAGAACTTTAACACACTAATGTAACTCTAAGGAAGTATATAGTCAACTCTAAAACTTACTTATCCATGAACTCTCTTAAGACACATGGATATCTTCAGAATATTTTTTTTTTTTTTTTTTTTTTTTTAGGAAATATAGTTTGATAGCCTGTGGTTCTAATTTGGTATCTTTTAGAAAAGATCTTTCTAAAGCTAGATGTGGTGGCACATACTTGTAATCTCAGCTCCTGGGAAGTTAAGGAAGGAGATTCATTGTGAGTTTGAGGAGAGCTGGGATTACAGAGAAGCCCTGTTCCAAACAATGAAACAAAACAACAGTAGCAACCAAATGTCTCTAATTGGTTAGCAAAAATGGTGAGGGACAGACATGTGTAAGTCCATGTGAACCGTTCTGTGATTTATAAAAGATTAAGGTGAGGTTTCAGACAAGTATAGCTTTTAAAGAAAATGACACTAACTCTATATAATACTGTTTACTTTTACTGTTAGAAAAACAATTTTGATATATCACACAAAGGAGTTACTAGTATTATTCCCTTACATCTGTCTCTCTTAGAAATTCTATTCACAATTACCACCAAGTGTGCATCTTTAAAATTTGGGCTATACTTGCATAGTATCTATTGTCTAATAGTTAAGTAACAATGAAGATGAATTCCATACTCATTTCGGGGACCTTGCGCAGAACCTCAGTTGACGGAGAAGCAACGGAAGCAAGAAAGTCATCCACTTGCTTTAAGAACAGGGCATTGTGAAGCGTTTCTAGAGGACAGATGGATGGTACCATGGAATACAGCTCAAAGCCTACAAGAGAAGAAATACAGAACAGAGAGTAAGGTTGGCTGTTTTCCAACTCCGACACTACAAAGGAAGGCAACTTACTTAGGGCTGGAATGTTCAGGTTTTTACATGCAATCACACAAGATCTTTCAAGTCATGACACCAGATGCTATGCGACATGGAACCAAGACAAGCTATGACCATGATCACTTTAAATGTAATCAGACAGTACAGCATGCACACAATCCTTCAATGTTACTAAAGCCTAAGAGTAAAAAAGAAGAAAACTTGGGGTAGGGGAAGACATACATTTTCAGGTTTTAATCTTTTAATGTTACATTTATTTAACAGATGAATAAGCTGATGCCATATTTTCCTGATACCAGAATCTTATAGTATCAAGATAATATCAACTTCAACAATTAAATAATAATGAAGGTCATTTGCTGACACAAATTCCAGGAGTTAATTATGTTGTTAATTGTGGAGCATAGATTGTTATTTTCCTCTAAGGCCAATAGCACCCTAACACGGTCCTTGAGCAACCCCCCCTCAATCAGGCTAGATTAAACACTCGGAAACATTACTTTACTGAACACCAGTAATTCCTTGTTTGGAAATCTCTGGCTGAGCAAAGATAGACCAAGTATACAGCAGCAATATGAAGTGCAAGGATCTCCATGGTTAGCAACTGCACAGGCACACACAATTTCTTGGTGAATCATGCAGCAATGTGTTAATATAATCAGTGACACAACAGCACATGGACATACAAATTATGTTTCTAAGACAAAAATATTAGTTTTTCATTTTTTTAAGAATAAAATGACCCATCTAAGCTTTATTTAACTGAATGGCTTTAAAAATTATGTTCATAAACTTCTGAGATCACAAATGTTTCCCAAAATTCAAACTAAGTTTTCTGTGAAGAAATACCTTCAACACTCAAATCAGATAATAACAGAGCATTATTGGTTAAAAAATAAAAATGATCAAAACTCAGACTGTAAAACAGACTCTTTTCATCATACATATGCTCACTATGAGATTGCATGTTATTGTATTTATTTAAAATTTAGGAGGAATTCAAGAATTGCTGGAATTCTCAGTTGGAAGAGGGGAACTTTTAAAAAGGGGAACTGAATGCTGTTATAAAGATAATCAAAGGATTAATAAAACTAATGCTTGGTTTCCAGGTGCAAACCAAAGCATGACAGACCATTATCAAACAAAACCAAACAGAAGGAACAATCAAATACCACAGCAGCAGCTGAAACCTCCTCACTCAGTTCACACTGAGGAACGGATATTTACAATTTCTTTTCTTCTTAAACATAAGTGGTTCATGCAAACAAGCACAAATCCTTTCTTTGCAATATTCTCAACAATATGCCTTTCTCCTTTCTCAGGGTGCTCACCCTCGTTTGTGACAGTTCCTTTCATTTGCCAGCTGGATTTCAAAGCAGCAAATGAGGTCTGATCAAATTGCTCTAGACTGTCTACACTCTTGCCATTTGTCTCATCAGCTCACAGCATACAATGAAAGGGTTAGTGCAGCAATCTCAAAAGCCACCCTGCCGACACGTTGGAAGCCATGAAAACATACCACTGGAGCCTAGAAACTCCCAGAGGAAATGGACCAGCACCTAGAAGGGGACAGGTATTCTGCACAGAGGCCCAGAGAATAAGCTAAAGCACTGTCAGAAGATACTTTTCACCACGCTCCTTCCTCAACTAAAGACAGAGGGAGGGGAAGTCCATGATATGGCTTAAGGTGGAAATGACATGGAAAGTCATTAGAAATAAAAAGTGAAAGGGTCACATGACAATTCACGAGACAGACAAGACAGAACAGCAGTAAAGAAAAGGGAAGTATGGAAAACCCACAAAGAATGTTTCTAGAATTGAAGGAAATATATTTCTACATATCAAGCTGTATAGTGTAGAAAAGTCACATGTAAAAGAAAAAGGCTAAACCAAATGACTATAAAATTACTCTTATTTTCTATTAAGTTAAAGTACTTACTACTTACTACTACCACCACTAACACTGCTACCACCACTACTAATCCTATAACCTCAGTTAAACCTAGAACTTTCTCAGAAAACCCACAGTGCATCATACAAAGCTGACCCCTCCTTCTGTAGGGATTTCTGTGAGCCTGACTTCCTTAGGACTCCTGTTTCTCTTCTAGGAGGTTACTTAGCATGCATTACCTTTAGAAGTTGCAGCTGAATCAAATCAGAATGAGTTTTCTCCCAAAAAAGGAACATTTAAACAGCCATGGGGGGGGGGAGTGTTAATGTAGGCTGAATTCTTAAGCTTCATAAAAGTGAGTTTTTAAAAGACTTACTTTAAAAGACTTACTTGCTGTTAAAAAAAAACAACAAAACCCCCCAATTTTTCCAGGAAAAAAAAGTATCTTCATTACAAGTGAAAGCAAAAGCCTATATGGAACTTGAAAACCTTTAGTAAGGTTTTCCATCTAATCCAAGTACTTTGGAAGTCTAAATCGGGATGATTCCAAGCTTGAAGCCAACCTGGTCTGCACAGTAACTAGGCTAGCCTGACTACAATATCAGATACTATCTCAAGCAAAACAAAAACACTGCCCTAACACACACACACACACACACACACACACACACACACACAAAATCAGTAAATACTCCCTCTGGCTCAAGATGAAGCTTTTAGCAAAAAGCTATACCACTGCCACAACCCCGTTTATAACCAGTAACTAACATGCTCCTCTCCAGCCTCACTATGATGGAACTTGAATATAACCAACTCAAGTTTCTGGATCTTAAGTTTTCTTTCTACCAGAATTCTCCAATTTTTAGGAAAAAAAAGACAAAGGCACCAGAAGGAAATGATTGCTGGGCCAGCAGTAAACCATCCAGTCCCCCAAGGACGAGCTGATCCTGGAAAGTCTCTGAAGCGGTGACACCACATCCAGTAGTGTTTCAGGCAGAGGGCCAGACGGCTGCTGTACAGTGACCTTGGCTGTAAGCCCTTTACATGTCTCAGTGGGGTTCTTTGTTACGGATTGCTTTGTATTTTTGTCGACTACCTCAATAAAACAACGTGATCAGAAAAATTAGAAAAAAATTAATTGTTAAGAATTAAGAACCAATTAAGAAATAGTAATTGTATTTAAAAAAAATTGTATAAACTGATCACTTAAGAAATTAGAATTTTAAGCTGTTAATTTAGAATTAAAACTCATCATTACTGTGGTCATTAGACAATTTGACAAGTAATGTTCAATTATTGTGGGAATGACAGCAGAAAGGGGAGCAAGACAGTATCAGTGGTTTGGTACATTAGTTGGAATTGTATGCCAACTAAAATTAAAGATTGGTAGGTTACATGATACTGTGTACCCCACATTTTGAAATAAAAGAAAAAAATTAAAAAGGGATGAAGCAGGGAGTATCTTTTAAAATAAAAAGCAAACGTACCATTGGTTGGGTGTCGAGCAAATGAGATAGAAAACCTTTTAACAGCAGACCCGCGTGTGGCGTCTGAGAAAGAGAAAAACAGGTACCTGAAGTTCACAGCTGCCAAAAGAAGAACACTTAAAACAGGGAACAAATATGTGAGGATGGCAGGATTAGGTGACATGCAGAGGGGACAACGGAGGAAGGAAGCCAAGGACTGGTGAGAAGCAGTAAACTGGCTTGATGGTACAGGCAAAACGTTTAATGAAATCCACAAAAGAAAAGAAAGCAAGATGACCTGGCAATTCCAGTAAATCCATGTTTTCCTGTCTAAAGTCAATTTGTACATATAAGAGCAAACGTTTTTAAACAGTGCTGACTCTGAAAGCACCCCTTCTGTCATGAGGGACAAATTTTCAGGAGTCTCAGACATTTTCAACACCAGAATATTAAAACTGAAGTCATATCAACAAGAATTCTAAGAATGTTCCCATTCTACTTTATTTTTATAAAATGACTACCAATCTGTTTTCTCTTACTAATAAACATCCCATTCTTTTCTATGCTAAACAGTTTTTCAATATTAATAAATAAAATGAGTGTTAACAGTGGCTGAGAGTTTAAATGTTAAGAGAAATTTATTCTTCATAATCTACTAGAGTCTCTTCAGCTGAAATAATGATGTTTTAAGTGTTTCTTTTTGACAAAGCACTTACTGTACATGTACTCTCGCTATTTAACTGCTCTTCAGTGACAAAACCTGGACCTCAGACGTGGATCCCAAGACCCACTGACAGGCATTTGGGAGCATGATGGGGCTCCACTGCAGTCTGTGGCCTTAGACTTGCTTTTGAGAAACACCACTCGTGAGCGTATGCATAGGTGCAGGTGTGAATCTGTGTGTGCTTGTGCGCACATACCATCTATGCAGCCAGAAGAAGTCAGCTTTTTACGATGAGTACGGGCATAATCCTGTAGGTTAGGTGCACTTGAAGAACCCCCGAGCACTGAGGTGCTAAACAGGCCCGCACAGTGAGACCCTGATGGGAGTTAAAGAAGATACATACAGCAGGTGTTCTTCCAGTCACAGTGGGAATGCATGCAGCATGCAATCGACTCGGCTCTTACCAATGCACAGGCAACCTTTGGCAGTGCCTTAGACAGAGTCACAATAGGCTTGTAACAGTCTAGTGACACCTATTTGAGTACAGTGCTTCTAATAGCCAGCACTATTCACCACAAGTACAAATGGAATAACTCAGTACTGGAGAAAATGCCTTCTTTGAAAAATAATATGCCAACATAATCACTGAACATGTACATGCTAAAATTATTGAAAACACCACCATAAAAGTTAATTAGAGCAAATTGTAATGCATTTATATATCATATTTATCATATGTATTATATATCATATACATATGATCATATGTTGTATTATATATCATGTACATATGGTCACATGTACATGATATATATACCTTTTAGCACAAATTAAGTCATATTAGATATTTTAAATATACACTTAAGACATGAATAGAAACCATTCATGTTTCTATCATGCCCCTGAAGTAGAATTATACTTTCTTATGAAAAAAGGTTATTTATTAATGAAAATAGACAAAAAATCATTCCTTTTAAGTCACTTAACAAGGGACATAAAACAAGAAACTTTTAATAAAGGCCTTCAAGGAAACACATCATTGATACATAAAACATAGTCAATATACATCAATGTGTTATTTGTAGCAAAAGTTCAGACTTAAAAATGTTCACCACGAAAGAAAATATAAATAATTCTTGTCAAATATATAACTATGATCATTCAGTGAGAGTCATGTATGTTCACATAAATATGTCATAGGAAGATGAAAAGCTCTCAAGACAAACTGGAGGAAGTTAACTACAGAAAGAGTCATGTACACAGGTACCAACCCAGTTAAGACACTGCAGATTGCAGTACATAGTGACATCGAATCATCCTTTGTGTCAAGCCTACTTAGATAACCAATTAGAGAAAGTAATACGCCACTGACTCACAGCTTAGTGTCAGTGGGTTGAGAGGGGTACTCGATAATGCTGGTCTCAATATGCCTAAAGCAGCAGCTGTTTACAGTCAAGAGGCAGACTACAGCAAGTCCACTTTAATCTCCCAAAGAGCTGCTCCTTGGGAAATCTAGCTCTCCCCAAGAGGGTCCTTAAAATCTTGACTTTCTTTGCTCGTTTATCTTCTCATTTTCTTTTTTATCTGCAGTTGGAGCTATCACTTTTTGCTATATTCATTGGTCATCATCAGCTGATACTTGCCTTTGGAATGTGTGTTCCATTCATTTTAAGTGAATATTATTTGTCCTAAGTAAGGAGTTTCATGTCAGCACTCCACACACAGAACTGGATCCAGTGAAGGAACTCTGGGTGACACCTCACAGGAAGGTCACACTACTAAGCAGTGCTGCCCCCCAATGTTTCCTTTGCCACGATTTAAAACAGCTGAATTATTGAGTTAGCTTTGACATTTCTGGCTGTGTATGGTGGTGTTTGTCTTTAATACCAGCTCCAGCAGCAGGTAGATTTAAGTTTGAGGCAAGGCCTGGACTAAATAGCAAGTTCCAGGACAGCCAGGAATATATTAAGCCTCAATAAAAATGAAAAAAAATTAAACAATTTTTTAATAAAATGGCATATTTTTATCCTTACCTGCCTAACAGATTTGCTTTACAGTGTCATGTTAGGAACAAAGGAACACACACATACATGGTAGACAGGTGCTCTGGCACTGACCCTCAGCCCAGCCCTGTTCTGATGACTAATCTCTGAAGTAAAGTTTCCCTAATAAACTTAACTTGCATTGGAAAGTCTTGCACCTGTAATCCCAATACTAGGGAAACTGAAATGAAGGGTTTCCATAAATTCAAGGACAAGTGAGACTGTAGAATCCATATGGCGACGATAGCATCCCTTCCTCAGAAGAAAGGACGAAGAAACAAACAAACAAGAAGCCAACACTGTCAGTTAAGTCACCACAGAGTAATCATTCAAAGGGTTAAACAAAAATACTAAACACTACTTCTATAGCATGAAAATTATATCTTAAATTTTGAATTTTATAATCCAACAATTCTGAACTAGTGCACACTAAATACAAACTAAAGCATAGCATTTGGTCATGATTTTACCACCGTAGAGTTTTATGTGTGCCTAACAGGGAGTTTCAGGAGGGCATAAAACACAATTTCCTTTACATCACATACCTACTGTAGGGTTCTGCTTCTGTTCCACAAGAGTTCTTGGTGTTCGGAGATAGTTGGCATTTTCAGACACAACCTGCATAGAGAAAGTGGAGACTGAAATATACTAGTAAAATGAATCTGAAAATCCACATTTCATATGCACCCTGTTCCAGACAGACAAAGGTTAATAAGCTGTATGATAAATATTAGTAGAAATACTTAAAACATGAAAGTTCATGCAAGATCCCCTCTGAAGGGAGTCCATTTCATATGAGGTCCTTGCAATGAAGGAGTGCGAAGCAGGCATTCATGATGAAACATGACAGATGAGAAGAAACAATTCACAGATTGATGTACTTTGACTTTCTCTTAAAGGAAGCCCATTGCCACTGTTAACCAGCGCCTGTATTTAGAGGAAAAACAACCACAAACAAAAGAAATGACAGACAGACAGATACTGTTGAAGTCACCATACAATTTCTGATCCATGCATGGGCTTTATCAGAGTAACCTTTAAGTATTCAGCCTTAATGGATACCATAATCCCTTTTCCTACAATCAAATGCATTATATTTCTGAGAGGAGTAGCTGAAATTATCAGAAGACATGTGATGGGAGGCCTTCCATTATACAACCAAACAACCAGAGAGTTTTAGTTTCAAATGTCATCAAAGAAAGTCCTTCTGAAGTTACTTTAGTGAAAACCATTTTACGAATTCACACGTGCCTGTCGTTGTGTTTGGAAAACATGTTGCATATTTCCCTTACAGTATATATTTCCAAATAAGGGGATCATGGAGAGACCAATCAATATTGTATATCTGTAACTAATTAAGACTAGGCCACATTAATTTTTGACATTTTAAAAAATTTCACAGTTCATAGCAAATTCTTAATGGAATGAAGCTTTTCAAATAATGAAGGGATAACAATTATTCTTAACCACCAAGGTGTGTTACGTACGCTTCTTGAAGTTTGTAGGACAACTAAGGTTTAAGAAAGATTTCTTTCCTTTCTAATTTATTTTTATTACCATGGCTAAAAACCCAGGAGAATTAGAATTTTTAAAATCTCCTGTATATTCAAAAGCTCCAAAGTAAAACTGCAAAATGCATGCCACATAAATGGTTTCTTTCCATGAAATATTGAGCAATGTCTGAAGTATCTTGAGGTATGCTTGAATTTAAGACAGAAGGATTTCCTCTGATGTACACGACAAGGGATTAGATGTCCTCAAAAACAGCTGTTTGTTGCTCTGAATGCAGGAATGGAAAATGTTTAATGAAATAAAGTTTAAAAACCTGTTGCCATGAGCCAAAAATACTGGATGTGAAAGCCAATGATTTGGGGGAGACAGGGGAAGAGGTGATTTGTTCCCCTGATCTGCGTCTTCGACGCCCAGTACCCACACCACTGGTGTAATGCAGCCAGGTGCCAGTGCCCTCTGGGCTAGACACACTCAGGGGGGTCTCTTCCTGGAAGTAAAAAAAAAAAAAAAGGCAAAAAAAAAAAAAAAAAAAGCAGAGCATGCAAAGTTAGATACATTAGAGCCAAATGATCAGGAAGAAAAAAAAATACAGTTTATTTGCATTTGCTTATCCCTCAAAGGCAAATTATTAAACATTCTTTTGTAAGCCAAATAGTTAAATCCCTAAGAAATTATATAATTGGCATATAGCATCAACAATCATAGAAAGACCTATCATCTTTAAAGCCATAAACTATATTTTCTACTAGTTGTTCCAGCTTCCTTAAAATTAGAAAATTACAGTGTTTCCCTTAATTGAAACTATTTAAGAATAAAAGGAATTTTGGCTTATTTATATTAGACTTTAATTAAAAAGATTTTGTGCTAATTTTTGGTTGGAAATTGCAGTCTAAAGCATAAGGGGGTAAAATGAATTCAGTGTGTAGCTGAGCATAGGAAACGTGTTGGCCACAGGTATAAAATTCAGAGGCGATCAAATAGACAGATTGGCTCCCAGTGTCTGTGCTTACCCTACTTGGGAGAGCCAAAAGATGCAGGAGTCTAGCCTGTGGCAAACACTCTCACTGTGCATACTGTGCAGGTTCAGACAGTGGGTTCAAACTAAGATCTCCTCATAGAAAATGAAGAGAATAGCCTTTCTCTGTGTGTGTCTTTTCAAAGCATAAACTGACACCCATGGATTTGGAGGATGCTGGAAAAAGTCTTCCATTTCTACTTGAATAATTTATCTTACAAAGTAAAAGTTTGGCACATCATGACATAGAAATAATCTCTTGGAATCAACTACTTATATATTCATGAGAAAAAGGTTTGAAAATGTGTACTGTGTTTTAGCAGTTACCCACGGCAGTGGTTCTATTTCCCATGCTAGCAACAGATCCTGTAGAAGGCACAGGAAAGGGTTTACCCGCAAAATTCTGAAAAACTTGATTGAAAATTCCTTGTTCCTCACTATATCAAAAACATTGCTTTCACACAAATGGTGGATTAGGTGCATTAGATTATATTAGTTTAGGTAATTCTGGTTTATTTGTTTGTTTTCCTGAAGTTAAGGATATCTGAACAAAATTTCAGATTTCTCAATTTCTGTTTAACTTTTAATAGAACAAATGATCACAAGTAGTTAGCTTCCCTCTTTTTAAATTAACCTTCTATAATTAAGTAGAAATAGCATATTAAAGTAACATTAGCATATAATTTCTTTTATAAAATTATAATAATATACTTTATGAATACTTTCCCCCCCGATATGTAACTGTCAATTATTTAAAAATTCAGAACAACTTGTATTATTTTATAAGTGGGATAGTGGGAATTCTTTTTGTTTCTTATGTTATTATCAAGTGCTTGATAATGTTAAACATAATTCTATATGCTTCTTATATTTAAACATCAACAGAAAGTAGCTGATTTAAGAGTTCCTGTTTTTTCTCTTGGGAGCTTAACTTCTTACTTCATATGAAGATATTTAGAAAAGCCTTATAAGTAATGCGAGGAACATCATGACAGAAAGTAGGTAACTCAAAGGTTAAAGCATAAAATACTTAGACAATAAAAACTAATCCAAGCTTCCTTCTAACCAGTCAACTTTTATGTTATTTAAATCTTATTCCTTAACTGAGTGTAACTGGTTTAACTTTAATTATAGATCTTAACACACCATTAAAAACTTCAGTTATATCATCAAGCTTCCAAATTCCTATGTAGATTTCTGCAATCTGGCTAAGATAGCCTATAGTTTTACTAGTATCCAGCATCATTTAAGCATCTCAGGCAATTTTTATCTACTTTTATACAAAAAATATGCTGATATGTTAGGCTTTTAATTGAGTTACTTACTGAAGAATAGCTGAAGTGACAGGACAAAAGAAAACTGGATATGTTTAGCAAGTTCTTAGACAAGCCTCCATTCCAGAGCTGTAGCCAATGCCATTCTGAGAGCTGCACACAGAACTCTGGGCACGTTGCTTGTTCATTTGTTCTGCAGAGTCTCACATGATCCAGGCTGGCCTGATACTCACTAAGTGGCCAAGGGTGACTTTGAATGTCTGAATCCTTACTCTTCCTGTCTACCTGCAGAGTGCCAGGCTGGTTTATCTGGTGTATTATTTTTAACAGGCATGTATGTTGCTTTTTTAAAAAAATATTTGTTTGAAAAAATAAAAAATGTTGATAGCTAAAACTCTGTTAGGATTCCTAGCTGTACAATTAAAGCTGTATTTTCTTTTCTTTTGCATTACTATGGTTAGCTTGCCCTATACAGGACAGAGCCTCCATGGACACTCACCTCACTTGTAGTTATCTTCCTGGATCTCGGAAGTGGTGATTTCCTGTGAATATGAATTGGCTCTGACACCAATGGTTTAAACAACATCACGGCCCGGTCAACTTCATCTCTTTTAGAGGTATGAGGCTCATCATCATCAAATCGAAGGGACCGTCTGCCTTCATTCTGTGAGAAAAGAACACAGTTCACTTAAAACTCAGATTAAAACGACACCTCTCCAGAGCTGGGTGTGATGGGACATGCCAGTAATCCCAGCAGCATTCCAAAATCAAGTTTCCAAAATGAAGCCACAAAGCAAGAACTTGTCAACTCTCATAAGCATCGAAACATCAATAAAATGCTTTTGGTAACTCTAACCACCAGCTGATATAAAAGTTTTTCCTCGAGTGAATTAATATTAATTTAAGCTTTATACCTTCTTAGTATACCAGATATTGTGATAGAGACAAATTGCTTCCAGAAATATACATATTCTGTGGAAAAGTTAAGATGCCGGGCGGTGGTGGCGCACATCTTTAATCCCAGCACTTGGGAGGCAGAGGCAGGTGGATTTCTGAGTTTGAGGCCAGCCTGGTCTACAGAGTGAGTTCCAGGACAGCCAGGGCTACACAGAGAAACCCTGTCTTGAAACAAAACAAAACAAAACAAAAAAAAAAACAAAACAAAAAAGATGACAATTATAATCATATAAAACAAGTCTTTAGCCAAAGTTTATCAAACATGCAAACAGATGAACAATTCTAACAAACAGCTGTTGAATTTAAAATACTTAGAATATATAAATTCTATGGTAAATATTTCCAGTAAGGATGAGAATGTGTGAAAACCAATCACTCTATGATCCCATTGATATTTTACTGAGTGAATGACATGTGCCAAGAACTTAGATGAACAGGGTACAGTCCTAGGTTGTTAGACTCTTACAGTACAGACAAGTTAAAATATCGTATACCAATATTACATCATTATGGATTAGAATATAAAATTATTAAAAACTTAAAACCAAGTGTGCTATTGTTGACTAGACAATAATATTATTAGTTACAAACTATAATAAAGGTTATTAAAACTGAGGCTCAGCTGAAAACCATTACTTATAAAAAGAAACAAAGGAGAGTGGTGTTAAAAATATAACTAAAACCTATTGCTACTTTGTAATAGTATCACTAAGTCAGTAGAGTTCAACAGAAAAGTGAAAAATAATACTGAACTGGAAGAGAAGTACAGAAAAATACTGTTATCTTAAATTCAGAGAAAAAAATAATTAAAATATATAGAAGAATATAAGAAACACTTGGCCAATAGGATCTATAGTAAGGCTAATGCACTCAAGGGTAATCATTTAAAATGTTATTTTAAATATTTATTTATTCTAGTTATCATTTAATTAATTTGCTAATTTTAATGAACTAATTAAAAATTATTTAAAATTTATTTTGATATTTATTAAATGCCTTAAGCAAGTGTTCATTAAAACAAACAAACAAACAAACAAACCCGAAAAAACAAAAACAATGTCAGTCACAGGTACAAAAGCACTCCTTTATGAACAACGCATAAAAATCAATTAATTGCGTAAAAAGATAATATAAGAATCCTGTCAGCAAGATGAAAGAATTAAAAGACAGTAAAGAGATGAAAGGCTACAAATACCATTTAAGTATATTTATCCTAAATATGTCAATAATCACAGTAAATAATTTCATGACAAATCAAAGAATAAGAGTATTAACCATACAGATAATATACACACATAAACAAAATACTAAACAGACTCTTCAAGTTATATTTACATATTTATGTGTTCATACATACTGAGAGAAGGTGGGGAACACGGGAAGGGCTGGGGAGATGGGAAATGGGAGGGGTTAGAGAAATGGGAGGAGATGTGGAGATGGGTCATGGGAAAGGCTGGAGAGATGTCATATGAGAAGGCCTGGAGAGATGGGAACATGGGAGGGGCTAGGAGGGGCTGGAGAGATGGGACACGAGAGGGGCTGGGAGATGGGAGGGGCTGGAGAGATGGGAGGGGCTGGGAGATGGGCGGGGCTGGAGAGATGGGAGGGGCTGGGGAGATCAGACATGGTAAGGGCTGGAGAGATGGGACATGGGAGGGGCTGGGAGATGGGACGGGCTGGGAGATGGGAGGGGCTGGGGAGATCGGACATGGTAAGAGCTGGAGAGATGGGACATGGGAGGGGTTGAAGTGAAGAAAGGGAGGTGGAAATGATGCAACTACATTTTTAATAGAAAACAAACAAAACAAACCAGAAAAAGGATATGGTGTAGTGGCACGGGCTTTTAATCCTAGCACAGCACTGGGAAGCAAAAGCAGAGGCAGGCAGATCTCTTGTGAATTTGAGGTTAGCCTGATTTACATGGGGAGTTTCAGGCCAGGTAGGGCAATATAGTGAAATGAAGACTCTGTATCAGAGAGTTTAAACAATATATAGATTTTTTAAAAAATCAAATTTCTTACTGCTTAGAAGTTAGACAAAACTAATCGAAATTGTCAGAACACTCCATAATCTTGGTGAGATACTTTTGCACAGTAAAGCCGGAAGAACAATCAAACCAAAAAGACTCTGAGGGATATAAACCGTCCAAACAACACTGCTAATAAGTATTGTCTGGTTTATACTTAATACTTGTACTGAACAGAGCACAAGAGATATATATTCAAATACACATATGGCACTGAAAAAAATCATGCACAGGACAGTAATACATTGAAGACACAACCAGACTCAATACACTCTCTGACAATGCACTAAGGCAGTGGCTACTAGGAAAAAAAGCCCAGTGTATTTTCTGTGGGGTTGGAATTAGATCATATGCCTCAAATAGAAAAAAAGTGAACCGACTAATGAAATATATTCATGTAATGCAGCTAACATGATAATTTAATTTAAAGTAAATTTATAGCTCCATGTGCCATAGCATCAGCAAAGGCAAAGCTCAAAACAGATGGTCTAGGTCTGGACTGCCATGAGTAAAATACAAGCAAAGTGACAGAAAAGGAGAGGGACAGAGACAGAGCAGGAGAGTGGGTAAAACAGACGTATGCACACAACACCACATGAAAACCTGCTGCCTCCTGAAAACAGGGAGATGTCAAAACTCCTTCCTAAGGTTCTTTTTTTTTTTTTTTTTTTTTTTTTTTTTCCGAGACAGGGTTTCTCTATGTAGCCCTGGCTGTCCTGGAACTCAGAAATCCGCCTGTCTCTGCCTCTGCCTCCCAAGTGCTGGGATTAAAGGCATGTGCCACCACTGCCCGGCTTCCTAAGGTTCTTAAAATAAGCAAATACACATAAGAAAAGGTGCTAGTAAAAAATAAAACCAGTACTACACATTTTACAAAAAATAAAAAGATAACCCAAGAATATTATTGACAACTATAGATTCTCAATTTTAAAAATTTAAATAAAGCCAAAATATGCATTACCTAATAAATATAAAAGACATTTAAACTCTAAATTGTACATTAAATAAGTTGATCACATAATTAAAATGTCACTAAATAATTTTTTAAATTATACATGTATTTCCTAAACAAAATTTAATAATAAAAATATCAGAAATCAATAGTACTAGTTTTCTAAAACATGTTCCAGAAATCACTTAGTCTAAATACAGTGCTGGTGAAAACAGAAGAAGCCACACTAAGTGCTGGCTGGGCACTACGTTCAGCATTAAGTAAGTACTCAACCAACAAAATAACTGAAAGCTACAATTCCACTTACACATTCTAAACACAGCTTAAAATCCAAACAATTGAAGGAGATAAAACTCTGAAATTTTGTTAACAGACATCAACACGTTATTACTCAGGTTAAATATATACTTAAAAAATTTAAAAGATTCATTTACTCTTATTTTATGTGTATTTTGTTGTGTGTATTGCCTGTATGCATGTCTGTGTACCATGTTAGGTGTCTGGTGTTCACAGAGGCCATCAGAGGGCCTGAGCCTGGAGATCTAGACTGTTGTGAGAATTGGGGCGCTGGGAATCGTACCTGAATTGTCAACAAGTCACTCGCAACACTGTTGTTGACTGACAAGAACAGTCAATGCCCTTGAGTGCTGAGGCACCTCCCAGGTCCCTCAGATTATACTTTTAAAAGGTAAACCTTTTTCCCTACAAGTTGATGTGGAAATGATTTATAAAGTAATGGAAAAGCTTGTAAATAAATACATCATGAAAATTTGAAGCTGAGTAGTTATGCATTGAACGTCCGATCTGTATTACCTCCCTGGAAGCTGGCCTATAGCCATAGCCAGATGGCAAATTCTTATCTTCTTCACAGCCTTTGGCTCCAGGACTAAAGTGTAATTCAACATGAAAGCGTTCCTCTGAAGAAAGATCCTGAAATATACAAAAGAGCATGTCTCTAGTGATAAATTTCAAGTATTTGCTTACCTCTGGTCAGATGCACAAATCAAGAGCTCCGTTACCTTGTTAGGATCCTCATAGAGCATGATAACAATCTGAGTCATGTAGTTGAGTTCATTAACAACGTTTAGATAATCCATAGCTCGTTTCCACTGCTCATCCTTTGATTCCTGAACAAAAGGTCTCGGGTAAGTATTCTTCATACCGTTTCACATGGAAGTCACTTTATTACCATGAGAGCTTACTTAACGTAAGTCACATCACATGTATCGGGTGAATAGAAAAACTATTTGTAATGTTTAACACCTATGACAGTACTTCTAAATTTTTTCAAGACAATTTACAAGATGTAAGAAAAAAATCTCTTGAACTATAACACGTGCTATTGAAATCCCAAGAACAGCTTTATAATCCTGTAAGTCTGAAAGTACCTGGCAGAGTATTATGCCTCATAACACAGAACATTATCTTCAAAGATTACTGCTTCTCTCTGTAGCATGTCTACCAAAAATTACCACTTTTTACACTACAGTGATTCTCAAACACTCAGCATAAGGAGATATACAAAGTTGCAATTGATATCTTATCACATCCTTCTTCATCAGATCTGACTTTAGAAAATCAATCATCTTCACACATGTAATCACAGCACCAGAGATGAAAGAATTTTTAAGAGAACAAAAACATGAGACCACCCAAGTCAGAAAGCTCTACTTGAAAAAAACAGAAACTACTCCAAGCACGAGGTAAAGCCAGCAAGGTCTGTATAAACTGGAGCATCACAGGAACGGTTTCTTCATTGTTCACATATAACAAACATTACAAATATGTAAAAATCCACCAGTTTTCTAGTATATAATGAGGGTAAATAATAAAATGAACTTTAGCATAGAATGTCTCCTATTTTACAAGAATAGAATTATGAAACTTACATGCTGACTGGTCTATTTTTAAATTCAGTAATATACTTAGTTTTTATTTCAGAAAAGACTTATCTAAAAATTAAGGCAACGCTGTGGAATGAGGAATCACATCTGCGTGTGTGCACGTTAGAGAGGTCCGATTTGCAAAGGTGTGTTCTTTTCAAAACTGATCGAGGAAAACAACAACTCACATGGCTTTTTAGGTGCCAATCAGTAGAAATGAAGAGTTTAAATGAAAGAGTATGAATTTCTTTGGGTGAGGAAATGAGACAGAACTTTGTGATACTGTATTAAGAATACCACACAATTTCAGGATTGCAATTAGAAATCTTTCCAGGTCTGCCCCCCATGAACACATAAAATCAAAAAATACTTAGAATATCTTCTTAAACATAGTTTACTGTTGTTAAAGCCCCCAGATTATTTTAATAATTTTACTTCCCTAACAAACCTTTCTAAATGTGCATTCTTGCATGGTTCATTCCAAGCAATCCAAATTTCCCACTGAGAGTGGTGAAGGGTTCAGGTTATTTCCAACCCTCACATTCAATCCTAAGGTTTGGATGGTGAATTATCCACAAGCCCTAGTCCCGCTGCTGGGGCTGTACTAAAGCTGCACTGGTCACCTTCTCCTCTGCTCAGAGCCTCTTAAAACACAAACCACCATTTCCTATCCTTCTGTGGGTCCTGGTGTCCTTCTGGTACAATATGAGCCTCTCATCCTTCTTGGTGTTCTTCATGCATGTGCTACTTTCTAAGCATGTACAAGAGGGTGAAGCGGACCACGTTGTAGAGGGAATCTTATGATATCTGATTGGAAGCTTCACCTGTCAAATAAAGCTGATGAGCCTGGATCTGTGGCAGCAAACAGAGGTGGGAGTTCCTGTGGGAAGCGTGGGAGGATTCACCCAGGAACATGGAGGAGGACAGAAGCATGGGAGCTGACCAGTCATGTGGCAGAACTTAGACTAACAGGATGATTATTACATGAGGTAGGAGGGGAACAGCCAATGCTTATGGCCAAGGCATGTGTAATATGATGAGTCTCAGAGTCGTTATTCTGGGAGCTTGGGGATGGACGGAAAAACCTCCACGTTTACATTCTATGCTAAATTAAGGTTTTGTTCACTCTATCTTTTATTAATTCATAAATTAGTAGAACCGAGGTTGAACCTAGGGTCTCTCACATGCTAGAAAAGCACTGTACAAATGAGCTACAGCCCAAGCGCTCTTCATGTATAGAGGCTAGAGGTTTCAGGCCAGGCCATGTGAGGCTGATACCTCAGCTTCTTCATGGCAAGAGGGATGGGAAGGGTCCACTAAGATGTAAGCCGACTGTTTTATATACTGCCTATATCACAGCCATAAGCCTCTTCAACTAGGAAAGCCTTCTTTACCATGGTGGACCAAACCCTTTCAAGACAGATGTCAAAATAAACCTCTCCTCTCTTCAATTGGTAAGGTCTGTGCTGGAGCACCTGCCTAGCACAGGCTGGCATAAACCCTGTGTCTTCTGCTGGGATCACGAGAGTCAGTGGCCATATCCAGCTCATCATATAGTTCTTTTATCAAGGAAAGTAAACATGTACTTACTCCCCAAACCTAGCAAAATGCTTAGTACAGACTAGCATACTCTCAAGAAATGACAATAAATCACAAAAATATAGAAAATTTATCATAATTAACAATAAAAAAAAAACAAGCCAAAACAACAACAACAAAATCACTTAGTGATCTAGGTACAAAATCTAAGTTATGTGTCAGTTACCGTGAAGTAACCCGGACTTACATCGCATAAGGCGCCATAGCGAAGGATGGACAGTAAGGAGTGCACATGGCTCTCACTGGTGAAATACAATCTGGTACGGACATGCCGCTCAGGAGACAGAACACCCCTAGAATACCTAAAGTTAGAAGCAGACGGTGTGAAAATATAACCACATAGTCAAAAGCAGACCAAACATGAAAACAATGTTATAAAATGGAATTGAATCTTATTAGAAGAAAGCCCCATAATAAATCAATCCATCATTCCTCAAAGATAGTCTTCTAATTAGAACAAACTAAGCTCTCTGAGAATAGTAAAAAAAAAAAAAAAGCAAAACAAAACAAAACAAAAACAGAAATAAAAAAACATACAAATAAACAAAATGCACACAAACCCTCCCAAAACACAAATGAATCAAAAACAAACAAGAAACACAAAACAGCATAACTTAAGTTCACTGGAAAGAGATGAACTTAGTTTCTCTAGTAGCAATAATAGAGGTACTCAAAGGAAATAATGCTGCCCAATGGGGTTGACTGAAGGACAGGTAACTGATGAACAATTTCTTCCTATCCCCTTTCCCACACTGGCACCAAACAAAACCTTGGTTGAGACTAGCACAGGGAATGTGACATAAAGTCAGAACGTGGGTAAAGCCTAGACTGTGATACTGAGGTCAGCTTGCACCATAGACAGAAGCACTATCTCGGGGATGCAGGTCATGACAGAGCATGTGCCTATGGCATGTTTAAGTCTCAACCTTCTCCCTGCCACAACCCCAAGAGACTTGCTAAAAGGTCATTAATAGGACTATCTAAGTAACCCTATTTCCATAATTTATCAAGTGACACACTCTTGACGTCTATATAAAACCAGGAAGTATTTTAGATGTGAAATACACAAGACTAGATGACTATAAACATGACTGCAGCTCTACAGTCTCTTACACAGGATGGAGTTTATTGACAGTGTCATCATCTTGTGTCCTCTGAAGATCCGATCGAATTTTTCTAACTAGTGGAGTACAGTAGCCTTTGGCAATCTCCAGTTTTTCAGCTTTAGTTATACCATATTCCTGAGCAGGCAAAAAGTTAAATTAGGAAAAAAGTCAGTATCAGCAGATAGCTAGATCATCAGGCAACGAGACTAATATTACCAATAAAAAGCTCATAATATTTCAAATTTACTTAATATAAAAGTTAAGAGGCATTTCTAGGATCTTGCAAACTATCTTTATCCAGTAGTGAGTACTTTGAAAGTGATTTTTACATAATAGAATATGGAAATTAACTCCCAAGGGTAACTTACCTGAGGGATAACAATATCTGCTAATGCTTTTGAAAGTCTATATAGTTCCATTGTGTTTTCTAACTTCAGGGAACCGTTATGCTGAACGTCGTATTTGATGCAGTCATATATGTCGGGGATCTTACTAATATCGTATCTTCCGTTCTTTGTTTTAAAGTCTTTCTCCAACTTGGACCATCTACGCAGCATGAGTTCCAGCGTCTCACTATGGTAGAGCTGAATATCTAAAATAACATACAGTCTTCAGTATATCCAACCTAACAAACTGATTGAAAATATATCTTAAAATTTATTTGTACTCTATCGTAGTTCTCCCTGGCCTGGAACTCCCTATTTCTGGCTCAGCCTCCAATGCTATGATTATAGCCATGAGACTCCATGACTGTCTCCCTGTAAATAAAAAACTTTAAAGAGAAAAAGGCAGAGCTCTAAGAAGCTAGGAAGTACTACTATCCACATATACCATTAGCAATTGGATGATGTTAGGTTTGGATAAGTACTTAGCACAAGTACTTGGATTAGAAGTCTGACATGAGACATTTTCTATATATTACAGATTTTGATAAGAATGAAAAGAAAAACACCAAGAAGTACAGCAAATCTCTCAATTAATATGCTTTCTATGCTAAAATTTAAATACTTAATTTTCCTAAATTCCTGTAACTAAACAGAATAAGCAGACTATCTTTTGCAGAAAATAACTCTTAGATATTAAAAACAGGTCAAATGGCTCATTTTTATCCCCAAGAATTCTAAGGTGTCAACCACTGACTTCAAACTGATCTTGGAGCCAGAGTCTTCTGCTTCTTTGTACGCAGCCTGTATTCTGCTTAACTATCTGGAAATGCTACAAACTCAATCAAATAAAAAGATACTACTGTCTTTATCTTACAATCATGGATAAATGACCATACCTAGTTATTACTTCTTGATGGATAAATATCTAACTCATACTACTTATACTCATATTTCAAAACAGAAGATTGACATCATAAGATTCATATACTTTATTTAACATGTTTAGCAAAAATGACAGTAACTTCTGTTCTACATTTTAAGAAATTACCAGCTGATTTGGGATCTTCCATCCGATGTCTGATTTGGGAAGTCAAACTTTGAATCAAGGAATACACTTTGTCACAGGTTTTCACTGGATTTTTAATTAAATGCATTGATTTGATAACAGAAATGCTTCCAGATGGAGTCAGCTACAAATGAACAAAGTAAGTGTTTTATATCAGGTTATGTCCCACTATCAAAGAGAACAAACACAAAATTTCCATACCTGGAAAAATAATTATATTCTATGCATTTAGATATTTAATATACAATAATACCATCAACAGGAATGTGAACATTCCAGACATTCATGTTAAAACTATTTTAAACTTTAACTACAATTAGATTACCTAAAGAAGATGAAGTACCTAGCATTTGAAGGAAGAGGACTCAATCATAGGAAGGCTGGTTGCAGAACTCAAACTGTTAACCACTATGCTATTATCCTTTGTTACTGAGGTTTTTCCAATTCAACAGGAGCCATTAATGGTTCTGATTATACATTCAACTTTAAAAACTTACATTGGCAAGATATGCAGCAAGTTGAATTAGTTTTCTACAAATACAACAAAATGCAAAGAGGAATCGCACTTTCTGTTATAGTGAACTTGGTATTTGGGACCAATGTAACTGCTGGAGGTTAAGTGAAACTTCATGGAGAAAAGTAATTGCTATTCTTTAAAGCATCTAAGAGACATCAAAGTCAATAAGAGTCATAAAAGAAAAACAAAATGGCCAGGGATCAAGAACATGAACCTAATGTTAAAAGATGGCTTTGTTTGTATTAGAGATGTTTGTGATTCTAAAGAAATGCTGAGAAGAAATATAATTCTGTTGAACTGAGAGCACCAGGTTCAAATACAGTCTAGGTTTCACTAAGGTAAAAGATGGTAAAAAAGCTTGTACGTGAGATTCACAACAGAAAGGTGCATCAGGAGGAACCACACCAAGCAACAAACTATAGTAATTAATCAACTGGTTGGCTGAGAAAGATGTATTTGTGAAGCGGATCTAAGACAATACCAGAATGATCTGCCCACAGGTATAGTAGAAACAAAAATCTACACTGACAGTAATGTGTCACACAGAGAAGCCATCACACGGAGAAGGGCTGAGCATGGTATCTCTGCAGCAGTCATGTGCTATAGAACACATATGCTGGGTTAATGGGACTCCCTGTATGTGCCATTCCATAAGAGAGAAGAAGAACGCTGTACTAGAGATTACTGATGCTTCAGTACATCATTAAAATGTATCTTATAGAAAACATAGGGCAGATCTCATATGGGTAGTGCGTATAGTTAATGCAGGCCAGATGTGAGAACCTTATCAGATCTATTAAAGGGTCATTTTTGGTTGTAAAAAAAAGATTCATATAGAAACAAGTCTCCCAACTAAGAGACATTCAACATTAGAAACTGTCACTGCTCAATTCTATCTAGACTTAAAAACTAACACCATATATCTCCAAGTATCCCATAATAACATTGCAAATCCATCCCACAATCCGCATTTATTTCCCTGAGATCAAGAACAGATATAGAAGAAGGAAAGGCGTGAGGAAAGGGAGGCAGCGCAGGGCAGGGAAGAGGGAAATTATAGATCTATGCTGTTATAAATACATGTAAAACTGCGCAGTAAAATACTGGCAAGCCAAGCACAACAGAACATCAAAAAATTATATACCATTATTGCATTGTGAGGTGAGATTTATCCTTCGAATGTGACCACGGGTCAACATATGTAAAAAATAAACAGCACAGTACACCAACCTCAGCAACTCACCCCTGTAGAGGAAGAAAAATCAACCAAAGAGGGGTATATGCAAGGGTTTGAGAGAGGAAGGAGAGGGGAAAAATGATGTAATAAGATAATCTCAAAAAATAAGAGAAATAAGCCGGGCAGTGGTGGCGCACGCCTTTAGTCCCAGCACTTGGGAGGCAGAGGCAGGCGGATTTCTGAGTTCCAGGACAGCCAGGGCCACAAAGAGAAACCCTGTCTCGAAAAACCAAAAACAGGAGAGAGAGAGACAGAGAGAGGAGAGAGAGAATAAAAACTATATAGCCCCTTAACAGTAAAATCTCTATGATTTTGGTAATGGAGGAACTTATTTTAATATACCAAAGGCTGTGTCAGAGTAAGTCAGCCAGCATCACACTGATCAGGACAAAGCCCAGGTTTTTCTAAGAATCAGAAGATGGAGATAACCACCACTTTCCCACTGTCAGCACAGTGCTAGCAGACTTACTTAGCCAGATCAATTAGGTAAAAGAAAAAGCAAAGCGTGAGCTCCAAATAGGTGAGGAAAGAGGGAAAGTTATCCTTCTTGTAGATTACATTATCCAGTAAGCAGAAAAGCCCAAGACACCATCCACTAAGGCAGGTGCACTAATGACTTAAGACAGCAAGTGCAACTGCCCTGAGAGCTGAAGGAGGAGGCTCTCAAGGGAAAGGAAAACTGAAGCAACAAAGTCAATCCTCCTCAAGAAAAAGAGAAAAAAACAATAAAAAACAAAACCAAAACCACTCCACAGAGACTGAAAAGAATGCTAAACCTGATAAATCCAGGAAAGCTGCAGGACAAGGTCAAGATACATTAACCAGGAGCATTTTGTGTTATAATTAATGATGTGACTAAGAATAAAACCAAGAAGGCAGTCAAGTTCAGAGAAACAGACATGTAAATAACACCTCGGAGGACTACCGACGACGTAGACCAGTGACAGAGAGGCTGATGAGGAGAGGGAGAAGGCACAATGCTGTAAATCAGAACTCCACAGACTCCACATACACTGCGGAGAACTCAGATGGAGTCAGAACAACTTCTGACACAGACCTAACAGACAGGTAGGTGCTGACCTATTCTTAGTTTGTTAATTACAAAGGTCACACAAGAAGTTTCCACAGGATTTAGTAGTACTCACTATTTAACAGTACTTACTGTTTAGTACTAACTTCACAGTATTTAGAATAATTTTGAAGTAGCTGTACACAAATCCTTCTCCCCAAGTAGGGAAGGAGTTCCTTGCTAATTTTTTCATCATTCTAGCATATTACTGACAAGGAAATGAAGATTCAACAAAAGTGAAGAAGACTGATGAATTCATGACTACAGATGCCAAATTTCAAGCCATAAAAATTAATACCATATAAACTTTATATTATAAGTTGAGATTATTCTAGGAACAAAGCATTTTCATGACATTAACTTAGCAAAAAAACCAAACAAACAAAAAACCCAAAAAACCCACATATAATTTCATTTTTTTAAAAGGTAATTTCAAAAGCAAAACAACAACAACAGAAGCAGAGAAAAAGTCAAACCTAATAGACAAGTACTAAATCTTCCTCTGAGCGAGTGACCAGAAAAAAAAAAATGCAATTTTAAGGCAAGTGTGGTGGTGTACCCCACCAGTCCCAGCCTCAGGGGGCTCAGGCAGGAAGACTGCATGCTCTTCAAGACCACCAATAAGAATTCCTTCTGTCTAATAGAACTGTAAGTATCAAAGCAAAGCAAGAAAAAAAAACTATAAAAACTGAGAAATAGCTCAGATTAATGGTATATTAATATTAAAAACTATACTTCTATATCAAAACAAAGAACAAACATTTTCTTTTCTTTTCTCTTCTTTTCTTTCCTTTTGATTTTTTGAGACAGGGTTTCTCTGTGTAGCCCTGGCTGTCCTGGAACTCACTCTGTAGACCAGGCTGGCCTCAAACTCAGAAATCCGCCTGCCTCTGTCTCTCAAGTGCTAGGATTAAAGGCATGTGCCACCACTGCCCGGCAGGAACAAACATTTTCAAGTACTGTCACAGTCAACTGCATTAAAAATACCATTTACAGCAAATATGGTGACAAAGTGTGGGACAGAAACTGAAGGAGGGGCTGTCTGGAGACCATTCCACCTGGGTATCCATCCCATGTTCAGTCACCAAAGGTAGATGCTGATGTGGAAGTCAGGAAGTGCATGCTGACAAGAGCCTGATATAGATGCCTCCTTAGAGGTCTGTCAGAGTCTGACATATTCAGAGGCAGATGCTCACAGCTAACCATTGAACTGATCATGGGGTTCCCAATGGAGGTGTTAAAGTGAAGACTGTTGGAGCCCCATGAGGAGAGTAACAATGCCAACCAACCAGAGCTCCCAGAGTCTAAACCACCAACTTGGGAGGACATAGGGAGGGATCCATGGCTCCAGCTGTATATGTAAGGGAGGATGGCCCTGTCGGGCATAGGTGGGAGAAGAGATCCTTGGTCTCATGAAGGCTGGACACCCCAGTGGGTGGGAATTTGAGGGTGGGGAGGTAGGAGTTGGGGGGTAGGTAGGGGCATATCCACAGAGAAGCAGGAGGAGGGGTGAAGGGATGGGGGTTCCTGGGCGGGGGGGACTGGAGTAAGGGGATAACATATGAAATGTAAATAAAACATCCAATAAAAAAAAAAAAGAAAGAAAAAAAAATACCATTTACCTCAGCTGAAGTAAGAATAGGAAATACTACACAGTAAATTGATTATCATTGAAAACACTATTTAAAATCTTAAGGGATCTAAATAAATGTGCTATCAAATTTTTACATGTTATGAACCTGCCCAAGATATGTAAATAAGATTTCATGCAAGCTAAATAAAAATCACAGTAATATTTTTAATAAGCTTACTGTAAAGCTTATATGGAAATTTGAGACATCCCCAAAAAAGAGGAGTCTGTGTAGAAGGCATAGGGCTTTATACGTTATTAGTACACAATGGTCAACGGACAGTGCAGAGGACGGAACATAATGTCCAGCTGATAAACACTGTTGCAGGAGGGTAGGAAGAGATCCTCTTCAGACAGTGCTAAATAAAGCTGAAACAGACTTTCACATATTACTCTCACACCCTACAAAAAAAATCAATTTCTGTATCAAGATTGGTAAGATTTTATCAATAACAGTAACATAAATAACAGAGGGGGAACGTCTCTCACTGAAAAACAGGCACCAAGCAGCTAAGAAAAAAAGGACAAGATATTTAAGAACTCACGACAAAGAACATCTGAGCAGTAAACTTGAAAGAAATGAAAAGGGATATTGTAGGTTTACGTTCCAAACCGAGCATCAGCTAGCCTGAGACTCCTGAGCGAGGAGCATGTGATGCTATGGCAGCTTTCAGACTTTGAGTCTTAACTGGCCCACACTTTGGAAAACAGTTGGACTTTACCCAGTAATACAGAATGAGCACACCATGGTTTACATCTTCACTCAGAATACATCTACAAGAAACAGGATGTTCATGCCAGCAATAATTTTAACAGCCTTACATTGCAATCAGTTGAATGCATCGTAAACTACAGGATCTTCATAAAATAAAATATGGTGCAGCAAAGTAAATTCTGCAGGCCGAGTAGGGTTGGCGATGAAAGCCTACAAGGTATGATTGGTTTTAACATTTCTCAAAGGGTACCAAACAATCAAAACCCAAAAAACACCACCCAAAACAGACGTGTATGCACACACACACGTGAAAGAGGGAGAGAGAACAGAGCAGAGACCACAGTCACATAGGCTATCTTAGCTGAGTTACCTCAGGTAAGACGACCCACTGAAGAAGCGGGCATCACCTTTCCTGGGCTATATAAAGGGGAGAGAAGTTTCAGATAAACAAACATTCATTCTTGTCTGCTTCTTGACTGTGACAGTAATGTGCCCAGCTGCCTCAAGCTCCTACTGCTGTGTCATCTCTGACGCAAGGGGCTGGAACCAAATGAAACTCTTTCTTCCTTATTTTTGTTGGGGCATTTTATCACAGCAACAGGCAAAGTAACCTCAACAGGATCACAAAGCATTATCATGTGATTCTTTACACACAAAGTATGCCAGCACTTCAAATAGACTACTACACAGTGGAGATTATTAATGACCCGTGTACAAGTGGAAATACCAAGAGTCCAGTTGAACTTGCCAGGCACAGGCTGAGGGGAGAAGCGCTGAGACCTACCTTCTCGTAGTCTTCGGCTGTAAAATCTCTGTCTTTTTGAAGTATTTCATGGAGCCTCGCTTTCACACGCTGCTGACAGCTACTCAAAGAGTCACTGTCACTATCCAAAAGGCCGTTCATATTTGCACTTTTCACCATCTGAACAAGAATGGGGGTAAGCTCTCCTTCTAGAGCCAAGAGACCCTAAGTACAAAGAAAGAGTCAATGTTTTCCACATATTCAAAATCACAGCCCATCCTAGTAATTTCACAAGATGCTAAATGTTATCATGCATAAGCTACTCATCATAGGTCAACTTTACTAATACTGTACTTTATCTTTGTCAGCAATGGCTTGATTTAAGATTTATAGCAATTATAAAGCGGCTTGTACCTTTGCAAAAGCAGCTGCAGTCATCTGGACCCGCCCTTCATCAGAGGCATATATTTTGAGGTCATGTCTGTAGGTGCTATGCAGTCGGAGTAAACCACAACCAGGAAACCCTGCATAATCTCCTGAAAACAAATCCTCACATCACTTAAGCTATATTTCTGTTTTGCAGTACTTCTACAAATGCTTGAGACTATCACAAGGTAAAGTGTACAGATATAGTCAAATGACAGTGCTTACCTTGACCTCCAGGGTACATACACCTAAAAGCTCTTCCCAGCTCTTCAGCCTGAACCCTGCCTGCAGGGGTCAGTTCTCCTCCCCATTTTAGAACCAAAAGTAAGGATGGCTCCTCTCTTCGGTTATCTAAGACAGAGGTGAGTGATTAAATAAATGTTATCAAGCATAATAACATTTAAACCAGTATCTAAACAGGTCTCAGTATTGACCTTTAATCTCAAGATTAGCTCTTTAGCCTGAACCCTGATTTGTATTATTACATCTCTCCCAGAACATTTTTGATCAAAAGCACTGATATAAGAAATAAACCCTATTGCTCTTGATCATGGAGATGATTGGAAATGTTAAACACATAAAGTGAAACATTCAAACTTGTATTTATATCTGAGGTAGTCAGAGCTTCCACACAGGCTGGTATAAGGAGGTAGAATGACAGCTCTGCCTTGCTCCAGTCACCTGCTTGTCTTGGGGCAAAGCCTCTTGAGAGCAGAATTAAGGTTAAAGCACAGGACAGGTGCTCAAGTTTTCAATACGCATTGCGAACTACTTTTAAAAGGTGTGTCTATTTACATGTTTTCCAGCAGACTGATAAGCTAACACTGTGTATGCTCACTCTTGATTACCAGTTTAAAAAGGAAACTCAGAAGAAAGCATTCTGCCAGTAAGACAGGCTAGAGAAACCAGTAGGTGTAGAACATACCTAAGCCAAACATCTGAAAGTCACAGCTCTCGCAAGCTTGAAAAGCTAACATGATGCAGCAAATTCAAATTCCTCACAAGGAAATTTTTCCCATGTACAAAATCATTTCAAATATGGGATAGTTATCTTCAAGACACATGTAAGGTACATACGAGACCTACCTCTAACACACATACACACACACACACACACTCACACATTCTGTATTATTGTCCTGTATTATTAATATTATGCATGAAAGAGCTGCACGAATCATTGCTTTTCTTTCTGGATTTTATGTATTAGGAGACCAACCTTATCTAGGTAAATAAATACTGGACTTAAATTTAAATTTTAGAACAAAATATCAAGATACTTTAGAAACACATTGGCTATGTATACTTTCCAATGTTTTTTTTTTTCATACATTTCGAGGTTTTTTCCTGTATGTGCTGTCATCTCCTACCAAAAATGGATAAAACAGGATCTACTAAGTTGTAGGTAAAAGGCTTTCAGAAATAACCCTGGAGAAAAGAGTCCTGAGGAGCTTAAAAAAAGAACAAAATTCACTTTTAACTTAAATTTGAATAAAAAGCCAAAACCCCCTTTTCCCAGACCACTTGTAGGGAAATTAGAAATGGTGGGGCTCACAGGGAGGGAGGGATACAGAGTGGGGCTGGAGGACAATAAAGGGAACAGAGGGTACAAGGGACCGGATGGGAAGTGGGGCTCCTTATTGAGGGAGGTGGGCAAAATAACAAAAGAGACTCTGAAAAAGCCAGTCATCCCATTAGCAATTTACACATACCCCACAAAACCTATCACGCATGTGATTCCATGTATAAAAAAACATATAGAGGGAACTTTTCTCATCTGGGCTGATGGTGCTCCCTCCAAGAACCAAAGAATACCCAACGAAAGCCTCAATATTAGACAGGAGAAGCCTGCTTTTGATCAGCTGGCCAATGCTGTCTGATAGAGTCCCAAAACATATAGTCTAGTGCTGTTGTCTTTGGTTACTGCCCCAGAAGAAGGTCCTGCATGAACTTCAGATGCAGGGCCTAGAGACTACTAGGCTGGAACTGATCTGAAAGAGCCATCCTTAAGAACTAGCTTTCATGATACAGAAAGCCATGCAAGCTTTCCAAAGAGTGAGGCAACCAACAGTTCAACCAGGTATGACGCCTATGAACTACATAAACAAGTGGCAATGACCCTAAGGGTGCAGTCACAGTCACAATGATCCTAAGGTTAAGTAACAGTAACAATGACCCTAAGGGTGCAGTCACAGTCACAATAACCCTAAGGGTACAGTCACAGTCACAATGACTCTAAAGGTGCAGCCACAGTCACAATGACCCTAAGGGTGCAGTCACTGTCACAATAACCCTATGGGTACAGTCACAGACACAATAATCCTAAGTGTGCAGTAATGGTCACAATAACCCTCAGAGTGCAGTGGTGGCATGCATACCGTGGGAGTAACCAACAGCTTTTTTTTTTTCCTTCAGTGTTTTCTGTTTTCTTTTTTTTTTAAAAAAATATTTACTTTTTTATTGGATATTTTATTTATATTTCAGATGTGATCCCCTTTCCCCATTCCCCCACCCACTCACGAACCCCCATCCCATACCCCCTCCTCCTGCTTCTATGAAGATGTGCCCCCAGCCACCCACCCACTCCCACCTCCCCACCCATGAATTCCCCCACACTGGGGCATCCAGTCTTCACTGGACCAAGGATTTCCTCTCCCACCTATGCCTGACAAGGCCATCCTCCATTACATATACAGCTGGAGCCATGGGTCCCTCCCTATGTGCTCCCAGGCTGGTGGTTTAGACCCTGGGAGCTCTGGTTGGTTTGGTATTGTTACTCTCCTCATGGGGCTGCAAACCCTTTCAGCTCCTACAGTCTTCTCTCTAACTCCTCCATTAGGAACCCCATAATCAGTCCAATGGTTACTGTGAGCATCCACCTCTGTATATGTCAGGCTCGGCAGACCTCTAAGGAAACAGCTATACAGGCTCCTGTCAGCATGCACTCCCTGGCATCCATATCAGCGTCTACCTTTGGTGACTACATATGGGATGGATACCCATATGGAACAGTCTCCAGGTGACCTCTCCTTCAGTTTCTGTCCCACGCTTTGTCTCCATATTTGCTCCCTTGAATATTTTGCTACTCTTTCTAAGAGACCAAAGCACCCACACTTTGGTCTTCCTTGTTCATGAGCTTCATGTGGTCTGTGAGTTGTATCTTGCATATTGTGGGCTAGTAGCTAATTATCAGTGAGTGCATACTATGTGTGTTCTTTTCTAATTGTACCTAAGGCCTGCTCAACTTGAGGGATAACATGACTAGAACTAGGAAACAGAGCTAACTATTCTGTGCTAGTGAAGTCACAGTTAATGGAGGAGAATCTACAACCACTAATTCACTCAATCAGCACAATCCCTAACAATGATCTATAAACACATGTCCTTATATCCACAGATAAGTGTAGTTCTCACCCTCAATCAAGTAATCTCTTCTTTGTAGAGGATAGAAGCCACTACAGAACTCCACAACCAATCAAAGCAGAGTTGTGGAGCCCATTCCCCAATTTATGTCTACAAAGCACTCCCACACTGTAAGAGAACACTGAAGAAGAGAAGGCAAAGGGATTGTAAGAGCTGGAGGCTCCGGGAGTCAGCTGTGAAACTGTGTCTCCTAGTAACTGCAGACGCTATATCTACAAAGTCTCACTAGCATGGCTGTCCAAATCTAAGCAGAACGATGATGATATAAATGAATAGAGAAGGCTGAACGTGATAAGGCCCAGGAGGCCTTGACCCTATAAAAGCATGCAGGCAACTGAGTGGAACTGGGAGTGGGAGATGGGGTCCTGGATCTCCAGGGAAAAACACACCAATTGGTTGTCCAGTGCCAAGTGGTCAGCCCTGAAAACACACATGTAAGAATCATTGTCCAGATTGAATGGTTTGTATTTAGAGAAAAAAGAGGCCATGAATTTGAAGGAGAGTGGGAAGGGGTATTTTGGAAAATTTGGAGGAAGGAAAGGGAAGGGAGAAATGTAACTAAATCATAACCTCAGAAACAAAACAAAAAGTATCTTTATAGGGGTAGAAGCATAGTTAATAAAATACTGATTTTAGTTGTTTCTTTAAGCAGTACATCAATCCCAAAGGTTATTGAGCAGAAAATGGCCCAAGTTACCACTATAGTATAAGTTATTACATACACATAATTGCAATAGGGATTAAAAATGATATACCTTCCTCCTCACTGGACGTTTTCGGACAACCATGAGGGAGGTAGGTCAACTGGACCTTACGGTTTATTCCCGAAAAATGACCATACCTGAAAAATAAAATGTCGATTAGAGCGTAATACATTAATGAAGTATTGACTGAATTCCTAAAGAAAAACTAAGATATACAGATAAAAACTAGTTCTCTTCTACTGCCTTGGTGGATTCTTCAAAAATAACCTAGCAAACATAAATCAGTAACAACAGCCGACCATTTAGGAACTGTTTGATAAAAGTCAGACAATTCTGAAGATACAGGGCACAGACAGGCAGATACATATGGGAGCTGGCCTGTGTGAGGAGAGCTGGGAGAAGCTGGCGTGAGCAGAGCTGAGTTACTGCATTCATGAACTCACAACAGCCATGGTTGCCGGCACAAGATGAAGCCAGAGAAAATTCTGTGTGTTGGGGGGTGGGGAGGGGGAGGCAGGGAGGGTACTCTGCAGGCCCCACCATTACTGAGGCTATTGCTAGATGACAGCTTCTGGGGACAGAGAATCATTCTTCCTGCAGAATACGATCATGGATAGGTCTCTCAATCTTCTGTAGATGCCACATAGCCACGCACACACACACAGTTGGCACTAGTTGGCCTTAACAAGAATCATACAGTTAGGAAGAGGATGTGTTGGTGGAGGAGGGAGGGTGGTTGAAGGGGGAAACAAGAAGTAGCTATCATAACACTTTATTGTATGCATATAGGAAATCCTTAAACATAAAAAAAAAGTTTTAAAACAAAGTACAACTTAAGTATCATTACAGAACATAAGAAGAGAAGTGGTTACCCACGTAAAGCTCGTAATAGAAATACTGATGGGTATCAACTTCTGAATAGAGAGTTTAAAACTGTTTAGCTAAACAGGGCTGAATCTCAGATTCAGTTTGCTATGTGATCTTTAGTCTAAGTATTCAAGAAGGTATAAGTACAGGGCTGTTTGCTTTCTCATTGAAATTAACATTGGAAACTAAAACAATAATTCAGTATAATAAAATATTTTGTCACATAATCCAAACAAAGGAACTGTATTGTAAGGAAGAGGGCCAAAAGAGTTACTCACATCTCTAACACGGTCTTCAGTTGTTCAAGTTTTGACTTGTTTTCTTCGATTTCAGAGTCATTATTTTGCCCCAGCTCCATGAGAAGCTGCCGTGCAATATCCAGGACTTCCTATGCATGTTAATAATGAGTGTAAATTTTTATATTATATAGTTTCACCATAAAAAAATTAAATGCAACATACATTAAAACAAACAAACAAATAAATCCCAACGACTACCACCACCACAACAACAAAAACTTGCCTGTAATTGTTTTGGCTTCTTGAGCTTTAACTTCCCTGATTTATATCCATCACACTTTTCAAAAAGATCAAAAAACCTTATAAAAGGATAGAAGACAGTTAGTCATTTGCAATAACTAATAGTACTGATATGAAGCTGAGAATGTTGTACACATCTATAACCCTAGCATTCAGAAAGCTGATCCAGTACTATCATCAGTTCAAGGTCAGCCTGAGCAACATAGTAAGACTTTATTAAAAAACAAAAACAGTAAACAAAAGCCCTCACCAAATAGTCAACCAAATAAAATAAGAGATATAGGAATAAGGTCTTTGAATATAAGATCGGTATTTCTTCTTTTAACTCAACCTTAGGTTTCCTCCACTTTGTCTCCCTGGCAAAGAATCTTGTTACATTTTTCCCAGTCAGCATCTATCTCCTTGGCTCAAGTGATCTTCCTGCTTCCATCTCTGAAACACAAGTACATGTGTTTCGTGGTACTCACTGCACTTAGCATCTGCTCCTCTTTTTCTGGTAACACTCAATGCAGACCTAAACCATATCAAACCAATACCTACTTTGAAAATGTGTGCACAAGGCAAGCAGCACCCCATTAAAAACAAAATAGTGTCTGTTGTCAATGCATCAGGTGTCAATACATATTTAATGGCTCAGGCTTCCATATCAAACACTGAACAGAAATAATGAGACCTTTCTACAAATGTGCTTCTGGAATGCTGAGATGTGTTTCTCACAGTACAATGTAAAAAAACAAACTAAGAATAAGTAGACTATATTTATGATGATGAATGAAGGGCAGGTAGACTGACAGTTACAGATATACCCACAATAAATTTTAGATGCTAACACACCCAATATTTTAATGAGTTTGTGCACATTCAGTAGTTTAAATATTTTCACGATCAAAAGAATAGTACGTAAAACTATTGCGATCCATCACTCAGAAAAGCTAAGGCCCCACCTGAGCAGAGCGTTTGCCTCAGACTCACTTCTGATGCCTCACTTCCATTTTCATTTTCTGTTTCGGTGTTCGATCCCCATGTCGTATCACGGCTATGACACATCGAAGTTCCATCCTATAGTGACAAAAGAAAAAGAAAAATACCTCTGGTCTTAATTCCCTAACATCAAAGGTTTCTTTTGACTTAATTTTGGAAGACCAAATCCTACAATAGAAGAAGCCAGAGAGGAGTGAGTCATTTTTATATAGTACTCCTTCTTTTTCAGAGGTGATGACCGTAACCTGGGATAAAGTACATGGACTCTTAACCTGAGCTTCATTATTCATTAGACATCTGCCCTGAAGAATTATCAACAGAGACGCCATTAATCAAAGCAAAAAGCAACTGTTATATGATGGCTGCCATATCTGTATGCTTATATCTTGTTATCTAAGAAAAACATTATTATAATTCAACTTAGAAACATATTTAGCAGTATGCTAAAGTGAAGAGCTATATTTCAATTTTTAAAGTGCAAACCACTGAACACATCCCAGGGGCATCCACCCATGGTCAGGCCTCATTATATGGTTCTATACTTGCTCAGGCATGGTTCTTAATGCAATAGTCTGAGCTTTAGTATATCCTTGTAAAAACATATCAACTCCCCCATCTTCAAACTGAATCATATGAAAATACATAGAGTAACTAATAGTCATTCAGAAATAATTTTTTACCATAATAAGAGAAACTAATGTGGAAAGCATAAGGAATTTCTGAATGAAAACTGAGTAACTGAAACTTACATAGTTCCAGAGGTAGTTGGTACAATTGGAATATCTTCAGCTTCTAATGGTATTGACCAGGGAATATGAAACTGTGGTGCGAGCTCCCGCATTACGATATTGCTTTAAGACCAAAAGAATTATTAAAAATTAATTAATGCAAAGATAGATATGGGTATTTAATTATGTCATGATAAAGAAACATAAGAATTTAAGTCAAACTATCAAATGGTTATATTACCCTGATTATGTCATGATTATGTTATAGTCAAGTCCTGATCATGAAAACTTAGATATCTAGATTGAACACGTTAACAAAATGCCATATATTTGTTATTAATTTATATAGTTTGAAAATAAAATGTGTTGCTTTAATTACGTTTCCAGTTAGATTTTTTTATTGTTCATTAATTGTCTATTAAATACTTATTATGCTATTTTTCTTTGTGTCTGTGAGATACTGAGCATGGAAACCAGAGCCTTGTGCACAACGTATGCCATCACTGACCTCGATCTCTGACAAAATTTTTCTAAATATGATAACTTCTACCAAGCCATTAGTATATTTTATTAATAAGAGGATTAGTGAAAGATGCTTAAATAATTGATTTGAGGGCTGAGAGACTTCTTAGTTGGTAAAGTGCTAATCTTGCAAATATGACATCCTGAGTTTGAACCATACAATGCTCAGCTTAAAAAACAGAAAAAGAAAAGCCATTTGTGTAGTGTGTATTTCTGGAAGCCCAGTGCTGGGAAGGCAGTAGGAGTTCCAGGCCAGAGAGAGACCAGGAGATCCTATGTCAAGAAGCAGTGGATTGTAGCTGAGAATGATGCATCAGGTTGTGCTTTCATCACCACAAGCTCCTGCACACATGTGAACCCTCATGGATACAGCCATCTCTACACAGTGCACACAAACCCACCCTCCCTCTTTTCCTCCTTCCCCTCCTCTTCTCGTCTTCTCTTTCCTCTTCTCATTTTCTCTCATACATACATATTATCTTTCTTGTATCTTAGCATGTATTTATGCTAAATTAAGTAAGACACCCGTGCCTTCAATTTCTCTTTATTGACAAGCTCATGCCTTTGAAGTGCAGTACAAAAACTGACTCTAATGATTTCCTCATATCTGCTGAGAAAGTCTTAGAGATACTTTTTGCTTTATCAATCTTCTAAATCAAATGATATCTAAAAATGGCATTTCTACACATATTTTCTTTTCTATTTGTTTGATTATCTTATTAGAACAGCAAATAATGAACATACAGAAAGAAGTCAAGGAAAAACATCCTAAATTTCAAAGTTTATGACTCAAGTATCTTATTTTATGAACATTTATTTTATGTTAAGTAGGTTAACAAAACACGTCAAATACAATTACATAGGAAAAATGGAGGAATGTTGTATCTAATAATCCTATCTTACAGCAAAATCCATGATGTGAAATGGTTAGGAATATGTTATTAATTAAGCTGTCCTCATAACCTAAAGCACAACTCAGAATCTGGCACAATTTACAGGTATCTTATCAATATGGAATATTACCCTTGAGTGATTAAAAAGCTCCCATGGCTAACACGTGCACAAAGGCACACAGAAGTATGGTGGTAAATGCTTACCCAAGAATTTTTGCACAGTCATCATAGTACTTCATAGAATTTTTCACAAAACTGAAGCCATTGACATCACATACATAGGACTGTCCATTGGCGCGTAACAAATCAAAGCCACAAACTGTTTGCTATTCAAAACAAGGTAGAAATTTTAAGGTATCATTGGAACTACTATGATTCTCTATTCTAATTTCTTAAGAACAATATATAAAAATGTTTGCATCACAAAAAGAAATGGTTATAAATAACCTTGAGTACTCTGAACACGCATTATGTATTCCATGTGATTATTCCCTTATCATGAATAATATTAGTCTTTGGAATCCACGTACAATAAAACAGTTTATAAGAATGCATAACAACTTATCTACAGATTATCATTCTTCACACAAAATTACTACACAGAAGTAGTTCTTTTATTAATAACCAATAATATAATTAGCTTATGTTATCCATCTAGGATAGGCCTTCTCCAAAAAGATAAAATGCATCCTTCAGTGAATGCAGGTTGCAGTACTTCCACTTGAATATTTAGTCTATACTAGTATTTAGATAAATTAGTAGCATACAAGAGAGAACAGACAAACACAAAAAGCAAAGAGGTTTCTTTAAAACATATATAGTATTCACAGAAACAAGTTTTACTATATATTAGGTCAAAGGACAAAACAATGAAGAACATTTTTATTCAAATAGTACTTTTAACCTTTTTTATGAAAGTAAAAAGTATTTATCACCAATTTTAAAAAAAGAATATGTCAGGCACTACCACTAAGTATACAAGTTAGTGGTATTATTCTGTAACCTTAAGTTTTGAGTAAATGAAGAAGATTTATTACTTTTCTATAATACACAAAGAACATGCTGGAAGTGAGGAAAGTGATGTTAGCCCCCCAAGAATGCCTATACATAGATGTGAGTTCATATATACTAACTGCATCCTCAGCTTCCTCCTCTAATCATAAGTCCAATAATGTCTAGCACCCAAAAGGAAAGCTTAGGATACAAGGGTCTGCATGACTTGCACAGTATCTTACCTTAAAAGCAAGGCAGACTTTCCATGCGATCAGCTTCTCCCGTGCATTGAGAATAACAGGGTATCTTACTTCCTTCCCTTCGCTGTCTCGTTCGACTTTGCCATCGAGAGCTGGAGACTTTCGAGCTTCAGCATGAGCATAGTCTGGACCCACGGTATAAACCTTTCATAAAATTTAAATATATATAATTTATATTGCCAGTTAAATATATAACCAGAAATTAATCAATTCAAAAAAAATATCTATTTAAAATAGTTCAGATGCCAGATTATTAATAGGCATACCTTTGTATTTTACATGCCAGGATTTTCAATATATCAGAAAAGATTATACATAATTACTTACACAGCATAATGAGACTTTATTCTCTGTACTGAAGTACAAAACTGAGCATCATGTACTTAAAATGTAAAGATACAATTCTTAAATTGTAGAAGAAATGTCTACAAGACTTTTTAAAGGGTGTGGAATTCATCTTGTGAGAGAACAAGGAAAGGCATTTTTACAGAGGTGATAAATAGAAAGGACAGAGAAATGAAGCAACGCAAGGCATTCTGGGAAGAGAAAGGAATTCAACAGTATAGTATGTACTGTATTGATTGGAATGGCATGTGTTGGAAGAAATATCTTGTATGGCAGTCTTATGAACATGGACATTATCCTGTGGCCAATGAGAATCTACCAACAATTTTTAAAGGGCAAGTTCAAGATGAGATCTATAAGTTTAAAAAGAGCAGCCTCATCTAGACAGGCAGGCTGGGGAAAGGTAAGCTTCCTCGGTTACCAAGTGCAATGGCATTTTTGTATCACATTACCATTACCAGAGCCACATATCACTGACATTGATCACTGTTTGGAAACTGGTAGCCACTAGGATGCTCACCTAATCTGATACTGTCCTAATCATTAGCCATTAGAGTATCATATGCATTTAAAACTTGACCTAAACATCTTTATAACATTCACTAAAATCTGTCATCTTTGCAATACTGGGTGTTTTACTTTTAAGCCTTAAAGAACACTGTTCTTTAAAAGGAGTTCTTGAACTTCCAACTGTCAGTGATATTTACCATACAAAACAGAACAAGAAGCTGGACTTCTTAGAACAGTGTTAGACTGCTTGCCTACCTCACAGAAGGGCCTATATTCTATCCCTAGTACCAATAATAACAACACTGAAAAAGGCTAAATAGTTACCTTTCTCTAAAATAAATGGTAACTTCAAAATATAAACTAAAACTATATGGTCTCTATGATTTATATGATCTTAGGATAGTTAAATGTGTGAGTTTTTGATCTGACAAAGATGATGCCACAATGATTTACTTCCAGCTGAAATTATTCCTCAGATTTCTACTTCTTCTGGTTCAGTGACAACACAGTATCATTCTCTCTCATGAGCTGGACAGCAGCAGTTAGATGTAGCTTTTGCCAGTCAGGTAATTACAAGTGAGCAGTAACCATGTTCTGCATGCAGTGCACCACGCATCGAAGCTATGATGGTCATGAGATTATGTTTATTCAATGTATTCTCAACCAAGAGCAACTTTTCTTTCCTTTTTTTTTTAATGAAACTGGGTATGTAGAAAAGGTTTGCCTGAAACTCAAGATCCTCCTGCCTCACATCTGATTGCTGAGATTCTAGGATACACTACCATACGGAGTTTTGAAGTTAACACAGAGTTTATCAAGACATGACTCAGTATTAGTCAAGGAGCATCTGTACGTCATCCTACCATGCCATAATCCTAAATACATCCTACCTTAACATCAGTACCATCCGTAGGCATAAATTCTTCATATATATATGACCCCGTTTTTCGCACGTTGCTTTCTGGGGAATACACACTACTTCTACTGCCAATCTAGAGAGAAAAGATATAGCCATTAACATAAAATCAGGGAGGTGCCCTCATTTTTATAATACATCTAAAATGTAACCTTTACTTGGCAGTATATATTCTCTGCTGTAGTTGTTTCTTAAACATAAAAGCTACATACAAGCATAAAATATAATGAAAAAAAAAATCAAGAGTACTGGCTGCTATTCCAGAGGGTACAAGCTCCCAGCACCCATATCAGGCAGCTAACAACAACGTATCTGTAACTCCAGTTCCACGGGATCTGATGCCCTCCTCTGGACTCCCTCAAATATATGTAACACACACACACACACAAGACGCACACGCACAAATAAAACCAGTTGAGTCTGTTTATTTCTGCTACAGAGCTTCCACTCTATATACAACACTTCACTCTATAGTTATGTCTAGGTTGTTTGCCAGGCTTCTTGCATAATCCAACACTGCTGCTTTAAACACTCTTACAACGGAAACAGGCCACATTTGTAGTTATATTTCTAAGAAACTGCTAGGAGGTTCATGTTTATTCATATCTGTACTTAGACAGACACTGCCAAATCTTCTAGAAACTATGTTATCTGAGTCTCACAAACAAATATATAAGCTGGCCTAAATTTCTTAGTCTTATCTGTACTTGGTATTTTTAACTCTCTAATATTTGCCACTATAATGGATATTTAAAGGGCATTTATATTCTGTTTTAAGACATATTTCTATTTTACATGCATTAGCGTTTTGCCTGCACATACGTAAATGCACCACATGTACACAGTACCTGTGAAGGGCAGAAGGCAGCAAATCCCCTAGACTGGAGTTACGGATGCTTGTGAGCTATGCTGCGGGACAGCAACAGTTAGATGTTCACAAGTGAGAGTAATCATACCCGGCTTGCAGTGCACCACACAACGAAGCTGTGATGTTCATCAAGCCATTGTATTAAGTGTATTCTCAACTTTGTCTTCCTTTTTTCCCTTTGAGATAAAACCTACTGGGTCCTCTGAGACAGCAAATGCTCTGAACCACTGAGCCATCTTTCTAGCTCTTTGCTTACCCTTACCATACAGAACTATGACTGTCTGAGCCCACCTCTAGTCTTGATACATTACTAAGAGACTGCATTCCTGCCAATGCATGCTGGATTAGGCTTATTTCCCAACTACCCAATTAAAAAAAAATCACTGTCATTCCAAAAAGTAATATAATATCATTATATTTCAGATCCGATTTGCATTAATTTTATTATGGGAACAATTAAGTATGCACTTACATGAGTAAAATTACCAATATTACCTTTGTGAGATCTGACAATTTTTCCATATAATTTCTCTAAAAGGGAGCATATCTTTAAGTCCATTTCTAGTCTGACAGAAACACAGGTGGGAGACTGAAGACACATTCAGTACCTTTCTTTGGATTCTGAGGGCAAGAATTTTATGTAACTACACTTTCTGTGGTGGTAGTGTGGGAAACGTCCCGCACAGAGTCGGGTATTGAACACTTGCTGCCCATTGGTATTGATGCTCTGTAGATGTGTGCAGGCTGGCTGGAGGAAATGCCTCCGTGGGGTGGGCTTTGAGAGGATAAACCTCAGGCAGGCCATTCCAGTCAGAGCTCCACTTCATTCTTGTTGTTAGAGATATGAGCTCTCAGCTATGTTCCTGTCACCACAGCCATGACTGCAGCTTGTACTAGGTCTCTTCTGCCACAATGGGCTCTTACTGCTCTGGATCCCTAAGTTTGCTTGAACCATGGTTCAAAGAAAGTCTTCTTTCCTTCCTTCCTTCCTTCCTTCCTTCCTTCCTTCCTTCCTTCCTTCCTTC